TGTATTTATTGCGTGCTCGCTGTAGCCTTGGAGGCTGGAGGCCCCCTCCTCCCCCAGAGCTGGAGCCTCATGTTTGTTTGTGTGGCTGTGGTGCCCGTGGGGATTTGATCTGTTTGTAAGAACATGTCGGAGCCTCCGACCACACATGAAGGCTGATTGGAGAAAACCAGAATTCATCAGACTGATCCACAAGCAGGAGGGTCTGTGGGGCTCCAGAAGGTTCTTTGACAAGCCTGCCCAGTTACCTTCATCCACACGTGCGCTCGCTTGCACACACGCGCACACGAGTTGTGTTCTCAGCCTTTGGTTACAACTAGGCGTATTCACCGTGAGCAGTTATGCAAGACCCCTGCAGACTTCTGTGGTCCCCCGTTAATGATGTCATTGTCAGGGAAAGGAGATCGATCCAGTCAGTGCTGCTCTCCTCATCCACCCCCAGAAGTTCCTCGGGGCCCACATCTGGGACAGAGGCTTGAGATGGATGCTGATGAGGAAAGCATTTTTCATGGATTTATGATGATGAATATTGTGCTATTGTTTGGCACATGCACAGAAGCACTCAATAATCATAGCTGCATAATTCGGTATGTTGCAACAGGATGGGTGGGTGTCTGGCTTAGTGGTTGATACACTCCTATCAGAGAACTTGGCTTTGGTTCCCGATCCTGTCTGACTCCAGTTTCCTGCTAAAGTGTGAGCAGGGAGGCCACGGTGATGGCACAGCTAGCAGAATCCTTGCCCCATCACAGAAGACTTGGATTGAGTTCTGGGCTCCTGGCTTTGGCCCTGTTCCAGCCACAGCCATTGTGGGCATTTGGGGAATGAACCATAGGCTGGGAGTGTGCTCTTATGTGCTATCTCTCTCTCTCTCAAATGATTTTTTTATATATATTTGGTTATTTTTATCCGAGAGAAGGATAGACAGAAATGGAGAAGGATCTTCCATCCACTGGTTTGCTCCCCAATTGGCCACGGTAGCCAGAGCTGACCCATTCCAAAGCCAGGAACCATGAGCTTCTTCTGGGTCTTCCACGTGGCTACAGGGGCCTAGGGAGTCGAGTGAACCTCTGCTGATTTCCATAAGCAGAAAGCTGAATAGGGAGTGGACCACTAGGACACGATCAGGCACCTATGTGGGGTGCTAGCACTGCAGGTGGAGGACTGGCATACCGTGCCACAGCACTGGCCCCAAATGAATGGATTTTTTTGGAAGTATAATAGGAAGGACATGATGAAGCTGAAATGTAACTGAGTCTCAATCTCTGTTTTACTAAATGCAAACTATGGCACATTCGCCTTTGCCCCTCTAGCTGTTGACGTTTCAGCTTGGCCTCATGCACCAGTTGGTATCACCTCTCCATCATGTGGCGGACCCCACATTTCAGATATGGCTCTTGCCTCACCCCCACATGCAGATTTCAGACCCCAGATTCCTAGAATGAAAGCACGCACAACCACCATGATCCGTGCTCAGCCTCCTGTGGCCAGATAGGGATGAATTGTCTTTTCATGTCTCGGGACTTCACGGTGGCACCAGTAATTGAATTAGCAGGGTGGACATTTGACACATTCTTGGGGTTTTCAGACGCAGAGGGTGTGAGAAGCGCGAGGACTGGGCGGTTAAGTCGGGGGATTGGCCGTGTTTACCCAGTTGCCGTCAGCTGTGCTCCATGTAACACGATACAGCACTGAGACCCAGGGATGTCAATGAGGACAGAAGGGCATTGGTTATCAGAGACGCGGCAGTTAACGCAAAACACATGTAGCTCGCGCGTGACCCCATGTCCCCTTTCATCCTCATTGGGCCAGGAGGCAGCTCTTAGATCAGACTGCACCCCAGAGCACAGAGGGGGCACCTCCAGGCGAGCTCCCGGGAGGACACTAGCCATCAGGTGAGGTACCACATCATCCAGAGGACAGCCCACAGGGATGCCGGGGGGACCTCCCCGTCCTTGGTGTGTGGTCATGAGGTGGGGCCAGAGGATGTCCCTACCACAAACTGTTACAAGTACATGCCCAAGGTGAGGTTGGTTCTTTAGTTTTTGAGACGTGTTACTGGCATGGGTCAGATCATATGAATGTGGCAAAACCATCCCTAGGTAACCATCTCGCTTACTCCTCTTCTAAGGTTTTCCCACATGGGGCTTCCTGTTTGCCCAGGCCCATTCTGCCACCTCACTTTCGATTGCTGCTAATGTTGTAATTTATCCACAGCCTGCCCCATGTTGAGCCCTGAGCTCTGCAGCCTCAGTCTGCTGTGTGCTTTCCCAATGCTTATGCATCTGCTATTCCCTTCCAGCAGGAGTTCCCTTTCTACGACCCCTCCAACCACTGCTCTCTTTACTTCCCAGAAGTTCTCTTTAGCCCAAAGACCCCCTGGAAGTGCCACCTCCTCTGGGTCAGGAGCACAGATCAAGGCCAACTTCCCAGGGGCAGCAGATAAAATCTGTGATTCTACAGGAGCCCTCCTCTGAGTACTAGGGAGGGATGCGCAAAGCGGTGGCTGTGCAGTGTGGTGTGTGGAGGATGGGGAGGAGGGAGGAGCCGTACCTTCTCACAGTCAGAGCTTAGCAGTTCGGATGTGTCCCAGTTGAAGTGGATTGCATGCTCACCCCGTGACTGGTAGAACCCCCCACAAATGGGTGTTGCTGGCCCCAAGAAGGGTGCCAACATAGCACTTGTCATAGCGCCTGCAGCTGGTGCCTTTAATTCCCATCCAGGTCTGAAATCAGTATCTACATGGGATTGTAAGAAGCTAGCATTGGATCCTAGCAAGAACCTCTGCCTGCAGAGTCTTCAGCCCCCAGATAGGGACTGTGAGTGTGCCCTGATCTCTGGAGACCTGGGCATGCTTGTGCTGTGTCCCTCTCGCTCAGCTCTTGAGAGGCCTCATATAGCCTCTTCCTCCCCACCACCCCTAGCCACAAAGATAGGCCTGACCCCAGGCCCTGCTGCCAAGTGCTGTCCGCCCCTTGGGTTCCCACAGTCCAGTCTCCTGACACCGTCCCAGGTCACCGCTATCCTTTGGTTTGAGCTTGCACAGTGCTTCACTGGGGCCAAGGAAGTGGAAGGACTTTATAGCTCCCTTGGCAGAGTGTGGGCTCCTTGAGGTCGTGTCCTGCATCTCCTCATCCTTGCTTGTATGCTCAGTGACACCCTTCTGTCCAAATTCCAAGAGACTCGGCCTGCCTCCCAGGCCCTGGAGGTCCTGGAAGATTGCAGCCTTGCTGGATGGATGGTTATGGTGGTGGGGATGATGCATGGGCCTCGGGCAGTCTGGGGACAAGGGGGGGAATTGATTGGGCAGAGATGAGCAGGGGTCCATGGACTGCCAGGCTGTCAGTCAACTGAGCAGGTGCAGCTGGATGAGACATAGGCTGCCTGCCACTCACAAGGAACATATTGCTTCCCTTTGGCTAGCAGCAAAGAGTGTGGGGGCAGGTGGCTCACTATTGCTCGCCTAGGTGATGGAGGCAGGGGGTCTCCAGGTTCAGTGGAGGTGCCCAGGCAGTCCTTAGGTAGTAGAAGACTTTACAGACCCCCGCTGCACTCCAGTGTCTCGTGTTACAGATGAGGCAGCTGAGACCCTCGGGCCCCCGAGTTGACCCAGCTGTTAGGTGGTAGAGCATGGACTGCAGCCAGAGACCATGGAGTGTTCATCCAAAGCTGAGTGTCCATGCCAGCAGCCAACCACGTGACCTCTGACAAGTCACTGAACCCAGCAGCCTGTGGCTCCTTATCTGTCAGCTGAGGCCACAGGACCGCGTGAGCTTGTAGCCTGCCTTCCAGAAACAACATTCCAGGGCTCTCTGCTCCCTATGCAGCCCACGGGGTACTATGGGGTCGCTCAGCCTACCCTGCGAGCAGGCTTTCCCGTTCTTTCTCACGGTCTAGGCTGGAGTTGTGGTTTTGGCCCTTGTGGCAGCCGTGGGTAGGCACGGAGGGTCTCTGGGGGGTCTCCAGGTATCTAAGCTTAAGGTTCCTTCCGCACAGTCATGAAGAGGAGGATGAGGTGACGTATTTTGCTCCTCCCCACCAGCCCCCTCCTCAGCCTCCTATCCAAAGGCTTCCCAGGGTGGCAGGGAGTCCCCATGGCACATCTGTGAGCTGAGTGGTCCCCATGCCCCAGCCCAGCTCTGTAACCCCAGTGGCGGAGGGGACAGGAGACTGTGGCAATCCTGTGGCTCTGCTCGCCTCTCATAATGTGGGAGTAGAGGGCGAGACCTCTGGCTTCACGGTGCTGTCAAAAGCCTGACCGTGAGAAGGTGACAAGCCTGGCCCCCAGGACGCACTGTATGAATGCCGCGTGTCTCCAATGCACTGTCTTTCTCCAGGCTTTGGGCTGTGGGTGACGCTCCCGTCAGATGCACAATGAGCTGGGCTGTGAGACTGAAAGGTGTGCTCTGCCCGCTTACCTCCTTTTCTCCCCGCCTCCATTCTCTCCTCATTTCCTGGTTCCAAGAGAAAATTCTGGTAGCCTTCCCCACCCAGTTAGAGACAGGAAGCACCTGAGCACTCATGAGCTCACTCTCTCTCTGTCTCTCTCGGGGACTCGGTAAGAAGCAGTGGCCTGGGACACTGACGGCCCTGGCTGTGCCTCCATGCATCTCAGCAGACCTGAGTCCTTGGTTCTTTGTGGCTTGACATGGGTCTCTGTGTCTGCATCCCCACAGTGTTAATGCTCCCACAGGGGTCGCCTCTAGGGATGTTCATAAATGTGCTCCACAGGCCATGCAGGCCAGAGTTGACGTGGTGTCCGAAATCTTCCTGTTCTGTCTCATCTATGTGCTGCACATCAGCTTCCCTCCATTACTCAGGATCCTAAAATCTGCATCTTCTGTCATTTGGACCTGTTGCTATGGCAACATCCACCTCTCAGCATCACGCTCTTACGCCCTCTGGTGGACGGAGCAGGTAGTAGGAATGGTGCACAGGTAGGTACTCTGGCTGGGATCCATCCTGGGCACTGACCACCTCACCTGGCCTCTTTCCCCTTACAGGTGAGCCAGGAGAAAGGAAACTGCTCTTTCCAGAAGAGCCCAACCCCTTGTGTCATCCCTCAAGAACAAGAAAATATCTTCCACACGATATTTGCTTTTTTCACCAAGTCTGGAAGGAAGGTCTTGGTAAGGAGTGGCTGGGGCAGCGGGGATGAGCCCCCCTGGGAAGGCGCGCCTGGGAGCAGAGCCCAATGCTGTCTGATGGTTTTAATCCATGGACAAGGATTGTCTCCCACTCTAAGTGCTCAGTGTGCGGTTGCCCTCAGGGTTAACTTTACATTCCAGGTTCCTGGCAAAGGGGACCATTTGCCGCCACCACCACCAACCCTTCACCATCTTGTCATAGCTAGGGACATGCTGAGTAGCCACCAACTTGAAGTCCTTAGCCCACACACTGGAATACCACACAGCAATGAAAAGTCACACGTCATAGATAACATTGAGTAAAAACATCTAGACAGAAGGATCCTTGTTGGAGTGTGTTCTTTATATGAGTTCAGAAGTAACAAAAGCTGATCAGCAGTCATGGATCATTCTGGAAGGATTATTGGTAAGGTAGAGCCTGAGGAAGCCTGCTTAGCTGGCCAAGGGCTGCTTCTTTGGGGGGAAAGCACACATGAGATGGGTTGTATTTACTGAATATGCCCTTTTCTCCAGAGTTTAGAAATTGAAAATGGAGTCACCGTATGCTTCTAAAGCCGCCTACCCCACGTATCTTTGGTTCCATTTCTTGGGTTCCTTATTTCAGACTCGAGAGGTGCCCGTTGAGCTCTTTGTTCCTCTCTTCCACGGTAGGGGGTGCAGCTCCTTGCCTGTACAGTTTAGGATTTTTCACTTCTGTAGAAATGCTAATGCATTGTTTAAGGTTCTCGCATGCCACGATGAGTCCTTGATATAGATGATTTTCTCGGAAAACTTTCCCCCACATTGAAGCGTGAAGAAAATTCATGTTGCAGGTCCTGCCATCCAAGAGACGGGAAATCCCCGTTCGTGAGTTGGAATGCACGTTTTGGTTGGGTAACTTGTGTGTCTTCTTGAGTAAGCCCTGTTTCTTCTCTAACTTAGCATACCTAGACAACAGGCTTGAAATCCATTTGCCACCAGAGGCAGAAATTAGGTGATTAACAAAGACATCTTGTCTTCCAAACCCGTAAGAATGCTCTCAGAATTTGTGCACGTGTTTCCTTGAGCAAGCATCCATTTCTGTGAGATGAAACGTTGTGGGAGAATCCATAGCCTTTGCCTGCACGGAGTTGGCTTTCCTTGAAGGCCAGCGGCAGGGAGAGCTCTCGAATTCCCCTTTGTGGCAGGAAGTTGCTCTTGCTCTCTGTTGACATCCTCAGCTCTTAATGTGCGGCTGTGCGTCAGCCGTTGCTCTTGATACATCAATCGAGTCCCCAATTTGTCTTCCCAGGACTGTGAGAAACGAGGGGTCCCTTGCCTAACAATGCACTGTAACCTCAGTGCCCTTGCGAGAGAAGAAAGCCGTACCATAGACATTTACCTGCTGCTGAACACGGAGATACTGAAGAAGGTAAGTTTGAACACTGGAGTGGGCCTCCTAGGGACACCCTGGCTGCTCCTTTTCCTGCAAGGGCTGTGGGTAATTCTGCTGCTGGGACAGGGGTGGACATTTCCGACCTCAGGGACTCCTGAAGTGGTCCCGCAAGCGGAAGCACGGGCGTGGGTCTCCTGGGAGCATCTTGGGCACCGGCCTGGGCTTACTCCAACTCTTCCTCTTAGCAAGCTCTGCACAAGGCTAGTTTGCACACTCACATTTCTGTACTGTAGTTTGCATCCAAGTAAGCTAAAAATCTTATTGAGGCAAACTCCCTGGACGTGTGGAGCGTGCCGTACTACAGCTGACAGGCTCCCAGGTGAAGCCAGTACCACTGGTCTTGACTGCATACCAAATCAAGAGTTGGCAAGCTTTTCCTGTAAAAAGCCTGTAGGGACCTGAAGCGAATCTTCCAGGCTGCATAGTCTTCTGTAGCTGCCAGCCTCTGCAATTGTGTTCTGGAGGCAGCCCTAGATCACACTCAAATCAATGGGCATGGCCATGTTTCAATAAAACTTTGTTTACAAAAACAGGTGGAGGGCCAGATTTAATCCTCGTATCTAATTTGCTGGCCTTGCTTATCTTAAGGATTCATTTATTTTTATTTGAAATGCAGATTTCACACTCCAAGAGGAGCGCTAGAAAGTCCTTCATCCACTGATTCACTCCCCAGATGGTTGCAACATACAGAGCTGAACTGAGCTGAGCTGAAACCAGGAGCCAGGAGCTTCTTCTGGGTCTCCCACATAGGTTCAAGGGCTCAAGGCTTTGGGCCGTACTCCACTGCATTCCTGGCCCATAAACAGCGAGCTGGATTGGAAGTGGAGCAGCCAGGAAAAAAAAAACTGGCACCCATATGGGATGCCAATACCACAGGCAAAGAGTTAGCGTACTATGCCAACCTCAACTTATTATCATTTTCATCAGAGAAGTTCAAAACTTTTGAACTCAGGTCACTTTCTTATTGCAAGTTTATAAGGAGTGCCTTGTTTTTAAAAATAAAGAAATAAAATACCTCCATCAGTGAGCTGGCAGTCCCAGAAGAATCCCACAGATTGCCTGGGATTCATTTGCAGACCAGAACTGGATGCTATAAAAATAATTGCACATGAAGATAGAGAATGCACATTAACCACAGAGATGCCCCTTGGCCTGCTCCCCCTTGGAGAGACTGGATGAATAACCTGCATAGATCCCTCTGTGTGTGACCACATGTCCCGAGCAAAATCCCTTCCCAAGGGTTTTTCCTGCCGGAAGTAGCAGTCAACATGCAGGACTGACAAGTGGCAGGCATGGGGATCAGCTCTGTGTGCAGCTGTTACAGCTCCTTGCCCCCACTGGGCAGAGGTAGTGCCCAGCTCTGGGCACCCTGGCTTGCCCTGGAGGGAAAAGGGCTTGGGGCAGGCTGGGCTCACACTCAGCAAACTTCACTGCCAAGCAGAGGAGCCAGGAGTGCCACCCGTATCGCTTGCTTCACCGCCACACACACTCACACACACACACACACACACACACACACACACACACACGGGTCCTCCCATCCTCCCCACCCCCAGGGGTTAGGGCCAGCCTTACAGTGTGGGTCGGGTCTGCATTCTTGTTTTGTTTTGTTTTGTTTTTGATTTCAGAGTCTGACCCCCAGGCAAGGGAATTTGAGGTTTTACTGTCTTGACCTGAAGTAGTATTTTGTAGGATCTGGTTTTTTAAGTCATCAAAGCATTGCCGTTTCCTTGACAGTTGACAGCTTGCTTGCTGATTTTGTGGCCTCTGGGGCTGCCTTGTAGGGTAGCCTTGGCAGGTGCCATCATTGTCATGCGCCATCAATGTCAGGTGCCATCAATGTCAGGTGCCATCATTGTCAGGTGCCATCATTGCCATGCGCCGTCATTGCCATGCGCCATCGTTGTCAGGTGCCATCATTGTCAGGTGCCATCATTGTCATGGTTAGGGTTGTTGTCATTATTAATAGCCAACATGATGACCGTGCTGGTGACTCCAGATTCCAAACACAGGGCACGCTCACAGTGAAACCACAAAGTTTTATGGTTTTTTTTAAAGTCATATTTCTTTTTTATTTGAAAGAGTTACGCAGAGAGGAGAGACAGAGGTCTTCCATCTTCTGGTTCACTCCCCAAATGGCCACAATAGCCAGACCCAAGTCAGTCTGAAACGAGCAGCCAGGGGCTTCCTCCAGGTCTCCCACATGGGTGCAGGGGTTGAAGAACTTGAGTCATCCTTTGCTGCTTTCTCGGGTCATAAGCAGGGAGCTGGATCAGAAATGGAGCAGCCAGGACTTGAACCAATGCCCATCCGGGTTGCCAGCGATGCAGGCAGAGGTTTATTGTACTACGCCACTGTCCAGGCCCCTATGATTGTTTCCGCAAGAGAACAATAACATGTGCGGTACTGTTAGGTGAGATACAGGGGACGCTGGGTGCTGTTTTCTCTGGGAGAGTCTCTGTGGTCTCTTTGGCAGATGTGGGAAAAGGGCCCCCTGGGAGCTTTCCGGGAAACCATCCCTTCTCTTATCTGTGGGCTTACAACCTGACTGGGGACTGTGAGCCTCACTCAGTCTCCGGCCACCTGCAGTTGCCATGACAGTAGACTGGGTGACTGGGTCTTTATAAAGGAAGGAAGTGTGTTTGGCTCATGGTCCTGCAGGCTGACAGGCCCAGGGGCATGGTGCCCACATCTGCCCTTCCTCTGTGCTGCATCATGATACGGCGAGGGCTTCACATGCCAGGCAGAGCAGGTGTGTAGGGATGAGTCCTACCACCTCTTCATAAAGCTGCTCATCCCGCCCTGGCGGCCCCACCCTCACAGCCTGTTCTAACCCCAGCAATCTCCTGAAGCCCCATCTGCAGGTTCCATTCACTTGGGACATGGAGGGTTCACTTTCCAACATGTAGATTTCTAGAGACTTCCCTGCACTGTAGGGCCTGCTGATACCTGGCACCCCACAGGGAGCGGGCATGATGCCACCAGCCCAATTCTCTGTCTTCCTGCCCACCTGCGTGCAGGGGCCAGGCCTTTCCCACTCCACAGTGAGTGTGCCCCCTGCACCATCCACCCTCTTGGCTCTGCCATGGGCCTCAGCTCTGCTGCTCCTGGTCTTCCTCCAAAGGCCTTCTCTGTCATTGCCGCTGCACAGCTGTGTTCTCGTTATCTGGATCGATGGCTTTGAGTCAGAGCCACAGCAAGGCTGTTGCAGGCCTCTGGTTGTTGAGCGATTCCAGAGGCTTCCATGACCCCCAGGTCCCTCTCTCTTTATGCCTAATGTATAAGACAGATGTCTTCTCATTTCTCATCTCTCTGTCAGCACCCTCTTTCAATCCTAAATGGCCTTGTCTCCAAAACAATTTCATTTAAGAGCAAAGAAAGAGGGGCCTGTGATATGATGCAGCCAGTTCATGTCCCGGCTGCTCCCTGTCCAATCCAGGTCCCTGTATAGGCGCCTGGGAAAGTAGCAGAGAATGGCCCAAGCATGTGGGCCCCTGTACCCACATGAGCGATCCAGATGATGCTCCTGGCTGTAGCCTGTCCCAGCACTAGCCAATGAAGCCATCTGGGGGCTGAACCAACAGAGGGAGCAGCTGGCTGTCTCTCTGTTTTCTCCCTTCCCTGTATCGCCAACTTTGGAGTAAAACAAATAATACTTTTGAAATCTAAAGAAAAAGCAAGGCTAGGGTTAAAACTGAACTTCGTGGGGAAGGCTTGCGGGCTTGATGGGGGTGGGTCGGCGGATGCCTGCAAAATGTGATTCAGCTGCCGTCCGAGGTGTTGGGCCTGCCTTTGTGGTACACAGTTCAACAGCTCGCTTCATCCACAGCTCTTTGTGAACATGTCAGTATCAATATCCAGATACGCGGCTCTCACCACTTGGAATGCACAGCGGGCGAGCTCGTGTGTGGGACTTGCCAGCGTCCTCTGTGGCTCTGAGCAGCCACTGTGATCTGAAAGAATTCTCTAGAGATTGTGCCAGTGTGTGTGTGTGTGTGTGTGGCTGCTGGGCTGGGAGGGTTTGTGTATGTGTGCCTGTATGTATGCGTGTGGTCTGTGTGAATCTGGGCATTTTCTTTCAGCTGTGTGCTATGTAGAGGCACAGCCAGTGCCCGCCCTGCAGGGGACCAATATGGAATCGTGTGTTTTCCTCCACAGGATAGTTCTTCGGTCATCCAGTTCATGGCTCCGGCCAAGGTGAAGGTCGTAGATCCTGCCCTCCGAGTGGTGGAACTGGCGAGTGGAAACCCAGAAGAGATGACGGTGAGTCAGCCACTTTCAGGACAGGGAGGCTGGCTGGAGACGGGGAGCTGGAATTTGAGGGTAGGCACCACTGCTGGGCCAAGATGTGGGGTGCTGGTGGACCCCACACCACGTCGGCTCCCCCCGTGCATCCTGAAAAGTGTCTATGGTTTTTACCTGGTACAGTGGCCTCATAGCATCGGTCCCAAGGAAAGATCATCTATCTAGAAGCATCAGCCAGACTTGGCATTCCACTCGAAAGCCAGAACTATTTTTATCTTTCTGAGCCCTTTCCCTCCAGTGTGCCTTCCCAGACACAGTGCTCCACAGATAAACACCAGGATGTTGTAAAAACAAGTTGTTTGGCTCGCTCAAAGAGGCCGCCTCAGCAGCCGCCAAAGACCTAGAGATTTCTCTTCCATTCGCCGTCCACTCTCTTGGACTTCCACAAAGTGCAATTGGCACCCAGGGCCCCGCACACCCGGAGCAGGCCTGAGGGGCCAGCACCACGGCAAAGCTTCCAGGTCTCCCTGGTCCGAAGTCTGGAACTGGGAGGCAGCATGAGATGCTAAGCACGGGCACTGTGGCGTGGGGCACCTGACACCCCAAGCACTGGTTTTAGTAATGGAAACTGCTGAGAAAGGTGCCAAATGCTTTGCCAATTCGGGTCAGTTTTTTTCTGGTGGATTTTTTTTCAGTTTTTTTTGGAGTGGGTTTTTGCCTTTACCTGACAGCTTTTTGGCCGTGTAACTGCTAATCCAGACACCCCTGTGGCCTTAGACATTAGAAAAACTATAGGAATGTGTGGGGCTGTGCAAATGAGGGTAGTGGGAACGGGACTAGGGAGGGGTACTGAGTTGGCTGGCCTGGAGCTCCTTAGCTTATCCCCTTGCAGGGCCTCTCTGCCTCCTCAAGGATGCTGTGGTGGGTTTTTCCCTGCTCTGCTTCTAGAAACCCAGAGAGAATGACCAGCTCTGCTGAAAGTAGGGAGGTGGGACATGCTGAAACCAGGAGCCCAGAGCTAAAGCCAGGTTTCCTACATGGATAACAGGGACCCACCAGCTCGCACCATTATCCACTGCCTCTCAAGGTGCGTGTTAGCAGGAGGTTGGAACTGAGAGTGGAGTCGGGCTCTGCACCTGAGTGGAGTCCCAGCATTCTGCACCAAGCACCTGCTCTTCAGTGTTAAAAAAAAAAAAATATCTGAGAAGTAAAAACTAGAAAAGAGAGAGAGAGAAAAATCCCATAATCTCAAAAGACACCTTACTTACTTTTTTTAAGTTTCTATTTTTCTGTGAAGATGATGCCTTGGGTATATTAAATGGTATTCTTCCTTCACTTATTATCTATAACACTGGCCATATCCTCACATTGTTGTCATGTTTTTGAAATCGCTGAAAGCTTGGTTGTCAGACAAGGAGGGGAGAGGTGATGTTTTTGTGCCTCGTGTTGGAGCAGAGGCCCAGCCCTTGTGGACCGTGTGGCCCGTGGGCCAGCAGCATGCAGGGAAAGTGTATTGGAACCATGGGATCGTTGGTGGGAAGGAGACTCCAGATGCTCAGCCTAAAGGGAGGCAGGCAATGGCCGAAGCTGAGAAGTGACAGGTGAAGCTGGTGTTCTAGAAAGATCTGACAGCAGATAGGCATGGCTAAAGAGCAAAGACAAGGCCTAACCATGGATGCCCACGCCCCGGGATCACAGAACAGACACTTATGGGGTCTTAGAGGTTTGGCTGGGGCAGCCAGGCTTGTTAGACGTGGCAACAGCAAGACCTGAACTTTAGGACTTTTTGATGCCACGTGGGGCCCCTGCTGTTCCTTCCTTTAGATTCTGTCTTCTTTGTTGTTTTGAAAGATGGAAGATGTGGCATGTGGGCACTGCAGGCCACTCAGATCACCACCCACAGATGAGTTTATTGAAATGGTGATGGCAGTGGAGTGGCCCTTCTCATCACAGGGCACGTCTCCAAGAGGATGATTCTCCTCTCCCAGACGGACAGGGCGTGCTTGTGGAACGTGCCAGACTAAACTACAGCAGTGGCTCCATCTGGGTGTCCACAAGAGCAGACCTCCAATGTGGCCTTACTGGGTCAGCCTGCCCCACTGGCGGTTTTACAGATTCTGGTGACCCGGGCCAGATGCCAGCCCCTGGCTCAGAGCCCATCGTGTCTTCCCAGACTCACCCACACAGGAGGAGCAAGCAGGGCATGGGAGAATAGGGGCAGTAAGACAAGTATGGTGGCATTTTCTTTGCTTAGCAACCGAGAAGATGGTAGCTGGCTCCATATGGCCAACAGCTAGTCTTTAAAAGTCTGTTGTCAGGCAGATAGGCATGCAATGGTGTGACGTGACAAGCTCAGATCTGAGGACTTGGGGCTGACACTGAAGTTTGAATCTTACTCTTGCACTTGAGCTTTGTGGCCCAGAATGTCACTTGTCCTCACTGTGTCTGCATGTTTCCTTCTGTGAGATGAGTGTTGGAGACCTCATGGGACAGTTGCAGGAATTAGACAGGAAAGTGCAAGCAAAGTGTCAAGCTAGACTAGAAGGGCACTGGCTAAGTGACAGAGAGATGTGAGCCAGGCCTGAGAGGGGCATGGGAAGTGGTGCTGGGCCCAGCCACCCTGGGCTTCCCAAGGGGACCCAGCATGGATGGCTTGGGCAAGGAGGGCTTGGGCATGACAAGGAGAAGGTATGATGACTTGAAGACTTGTGGAGCTGGGGCAGTGCTGAACCACACTCCCCCTGCACCCCCAGCCCGAACCAGGGTGCTTATCTTTGCAATCACAAGGCACATAATTGGGGCAGTGGCATCTGAGGAAGGGACATTTGGTGACAGGTGACACACTGGATGCTTTGAGCTTTGCAGACCCTTAGTGTGCTGGGAGCTGATAGACCCCTAACAACAGTTCCCTGATGGGAAGGCGGGAGCCCCAATTTGTTTGCCAGGACCCGAAGTGGGAATGCCCCCACCAAGGCCAGATTCCAGCTACTGTCGCTGGGTCACAAGATGGCAAAGTCAGGAAGGGACAACCCAGCAGGTTCTGATGAGTAAATATAAGCCAGCTCCAGCATTTGGGTGCATTTTAGGGGTGACGCTTGCCTCACTGACACAAGGATTGTGGGTGTACCACAGGCTAACATCCCAAGTCACCCAGCTCAGACCACAGCCTGTCTCTTGTGGAGTCCACGGTCTATAGGGAAAGCTGGCACTCACCCAGAATATGGCTGAACTGAATGTAGAACAATGCAGTCTTCCATGGAGAACACCTGCCTTCTGTCGTAGAACAAGAGTGAATGTAGAATGCCATCTGTTTTGAACAGAGGCTCTGGTGCATACTCTTGTGTCTCGCCCCGGTTTGCTCACATGTTGCAATCAGAGCTGTTAGCATTGCAACTCTTTCCGGTCCCAGGGCTTGCTTCTCCAGTGCCTTTTCGGGTGCAGGTGAACACTCCGTGGGCCTCCAGCTATGGAAGCACTTAGCCAAGTGGCCACTTGACGTTCTGAATGCTGCGCCTTCTAGCCTTCTCCAAAGGTCAAGCCCAAAGACACATGTTCCCATGCCCTGGCCATTTCCATCCCTGGAAGGGGTTTTCACTTGTATGTCTTCTCACCCCAGGTGGTGTTTGAGGCCCTGCACAGTCTGGAGCCCCGGGGCTACGTCGTGGGCTGGATCATCGCCATCAGCCTACTGGTGGGCATCCTCATCTTCCTGCTCCTGGCCGTGCTACTCTGGAAGGTGAGTGTGCCATGTTCCCCTGCCTCTCCAGGCCTCCAGCTCCTTCGCGGAAAATTGCTTTGCTGCTGCAGACCTAGGCAGGGGAGAGACTCCTGGCTCCTGTGCAGCACAGGCTGTAGCTGAAGCCACACTGCAGGGCTAGCAGAGGTCTCAGTGCGTTGTTTCCATGGCTTCCTTAACGCGGTTCCACTCTGTCCTCACCAAGAGTGGCAGGAACCAGCAACTGAGAGTGGGCTGCTTGGAAGAGAGAAAGATGCGTGGCTCTGTTCTTGTCTCCCATGGAAGATAAACAGCAAAAGGATTCCTGCCCAGAAGCCTGGGGGAACTGAGATGGGCCACTAGGCCGGAGAACTGGTTTTACTGGAAAGTTCTCCCAGCACCGTGGGCTGTTACTGGTGGGTGCCCCAACCCCTTCCACAGGGAACCCCTGGCTCATCTTTCACGTCTTCCCTCCAGGCATGCTTGCCCACACTCAGGGCTAGGTGATGCCTTTGCCCCTCTCAGACTCATGTCCTGTTACCCCCGTCCCTAGCCCCCAGTGATGGCGCTGCAGCTGTTAGCTGATTGAAGGGTTGTGTATTCCCCTTGGAGGCAGCGGTCCAGGTCATGGGCCTCACATGTAGCCTTGTTTCCACACTGCCTGCCTGGCTCCAAGCACCACCAGCCCTGTCCCCTCCTGCAGCTGGGACTTCCTGATACCACTGCCCGGGCCACCCAAGGGCTCCAGTTCCCGGACACAGGTGGATACAGCCCCAGAGTGAAGAATATGTTAATTCATTGGGGAGAAAAAAAAAAGGAATAATGAAAACACTTCCAAATACCCACGAAGTATGGGTGAAATGCTGTGTTTCATGTCCTGTTCAAAGGACAAGGTTGGATCCATTGCTTTAAATCTAAAGCTGTTGATCCCAGAGACACCGTGAGGAACCACTGTGGCCATGTGTCACTCCCTCTTATAGTCTGCCTACCTTCCCTCTGACCCCCGACTCAGTAACAGTGAGGCACCCCCATACCAGCTAAATATGTCATGGTCAGGCTGAGAGAAGCTGTGCGTTAACCTTGCCACATAGAAAGAAGGCTCTAGAAGAAGCCAGATGGCTTTACACGAATGAGGGTGTTTGGTTTGAGTTTTCCAGGCAGTGAGGACAGAAGGGCCCAGGGGAGGGCTCTCCACAAAGCAGAGACGTGGCTGGTCCTGTGTCGAGGGAGCTCTGTGACTACATGGGAGTGAGGGCCACCAACCCAGAAGGCCAAGGTGGGATGAAGTTAGATCAAGCCAGGGTTGGGTGACAGATGGACTGGGAAGGTCAAAAAGCAACCAGAGGGGCCTGCATGGTAGCCTAGTAGCAAAAGTCCTCAGCTTGCACACGCCAGAATCCCATAAGGAACTGGTTCATATCCTGGCTGTTCTACTTCCCTTCTTTCCTACTTGTGACCTGGGACAGTAGGGGACAGCCCAAAGCCTTGGGACCCTGCACGCACTTGGGAGACCTGGAGAAAACTCCTGGATCCTGGCTTTGGATTGGCTCAGCCCCAGACATGGCAGCCACTTGGGTAGCGAACCAGTGGATGGAGGATCTTTCTCTCCGTTTCTCTTTTTCTCTGTTAATCTGTCTTTCTAATTAACAAAGAAGCAGCAGCAACCAGAGGCACTGTTTGGCCCTTAGCTCAGTCACCACCACAGAGATCCTGGTGTGCTGACCTAGAGAGCTGAGGGGTGGACACTTGCTGGGTGCTGGAATTTCCACTCCACGGACCAGGATTCCCAGGAGCTTGCAGGACAAGAGCTGAAAATGTGGTTCTTCTCAGGGGAGCCCGCCCAGCGGTAAACAGGAAGCGGCCAGGGGTGTGGCCGGGACTGTGGCCACTTGGGGTTCACACTCTGAGATCCCTCAGCTCACTACAACAGCTGGGTCACCTGGGATGGGATGAGCAGACACCCAGGTGTTTCCGGTATGAAGGAAGACCCCTGTCCTCTGCCCCATCCAGGCTCCCTGACCCCTTCCACCTGTTCAGAGGTTTGAGGCCTTATGAGGGCGGTACCCCTGGCCTCTTTTTCTGATGCTCTCAGCTTGTGACCCCTCTTTCCTTCCTTGGGTTTTCTGCTTGAACATCTGCGAGCTCAGGTGACCAGGTGCACAGGCTGGTCTCCCGGAAGCCTGGGGGATGGATTTGGGAGAGACGGGGCAAAGGCGGAGACTTCCTGAATTCGGAGAGGGCAGGGAGAGGCAAGCCACCCTGGGAGAAGGGTTGCTGAGCTGTGCCAAGAGTGAGGGCTCCGGGAGCTTTGTCTGAGAGTTGGTGTGGACCCTCCTGCAGAAACCACTTGGACAATCACCGAAAGCTGCCATCTGGCTCTGAGAATGTGCCCAACCCTGTGTTGATATCTAGGGTACCCCCCCAGCCCACCTCCATGCCCATCTGTGAGACGCCACCCTGGCTGGTCTCCCAGAGGGAAGGATGATACCCGCAACAGTTGGTTATATGCACACACTCACACACACCCAGGCTCCCCTTCCCACAGCCTTGATCAGAACCATGGGCCACGGGCACTGAGTGGGCCATGTTTATGTCAGGAAGTAAACATCGGGCTGGCCTCACACTGTCTGTGTTTCCAGACAGAAACGTGCTATGTAAATAGTCAAGGGGCTCGAGACGCGGGCTTGTGCAGTGACCAGAGCGCCCATAGCCAGGGTCCTTGAATCAGCTCCTCAGAACACAGCCCAGAGGCCAGGGGAGGTGAATGGGAGTCCCCTGCCAGGCCTGAGTGGTGTGGGAAAGAGGAAGCCTGTGCCCTAGGCCTGAGCCCCCCACCCATCTCCTCCGAGGCTCCGAGCTGCACACAGCTCGTTTCAGGGACCCTGCTGTTTGCCTGGAGTGATCTGACAGCCTTGCAGTGATAACACACATATTCAGCATGAGTGTGCTGGGTTAGGGTAGGGGCCTCCTTCCCTTAGAGGGGCTAGCAGCAGGCACCCTCCCCAGCAGAGAAGACCTGGAAGTCAAGAGGTGGATTCCAGCAGCCTGCAGCAGCAGCAGAGGCATGGCTTGGGTCTCCTGGCTGTCACGGGCAGCACACTTACAAAGCTGCTTCCGGGATGGTGTGACAACAGATTGGTGTGACAACACCTTTGAGGCTTGCCTACTTTCTTCATTGATGAAATTAAGACTAAAACCCTAATATCTGGGACCAGCATTGTGCCATAGTGAGTAAACACTGCCTGTGATGCTAGCATCTCGTATGGGTACCCATTCAAGGCAATCCAGTCCCCTGCTAGAACACGTGGGAAAGCCACAGAAGATGGTTGGAGTGCATACTTAGGTCCCTGTCCAACTTATGGTAGATCAGGTTATACCACCTGTCCCTTGGCTTTGGCCTTGCCCAGCCCTGACCATTGTGGTCATCTAGGGAGTGGACCAATGAATAGAAGACCCCTCTCTGTCTCTCCCTCCCTCTCTCTCTGTGACTCTTGACTTTAAAGTCAACAAATAAATCCTCTGTTTAAAAAAATGCCTTAACTTGGAATATTGTCAATATTTCAAGAGCGCACATAATCACCTGTATTTTATGAAATCAGAAGTCTCACAATCATTTAACAACGTTTCTAAACTGTATGACTCGTTTCTTTCACAATTTACAGCAGTTGAAAATGTTCTGGAAATTTCCCAAAACTCTTTGAAAAACACTGGTTCAGGATCTCGCCTCGTGTTGGCATGAGTCCTGGATCTGTGGCTTTGGACCATGAGTTTTCTTTGAGGATCCATCAGGTTTCAGGGCCTGCCGGGGCTATAATTTGGGGGCTTCCTGCTGTCTGTGTGTGGACTCTGTTTCCAAAGCTTTGAATAGAGACATGGAAGTGACACCCTCCTCTTCTGGAGTAGACTTAACATTGTTCTTTGAAGAAACGATGTTAGTGTGACAGGGGCAGCACTAGGCCACATGGCACGTTCATCTAAGCCAACGACACTTCATCCATACCCTTTGCTTTCATCTGTCAGAAAATTCAGAAACATCTACAGATTCGAGCAAGACACTCTGCTGCCATCTGTTGGAAAGCAGTTGCAATAACTGCATGTGGTATCTGTGATGTGGCAGCCTGAACACATTGCACCTGGCACTATAGCCATGCAATGCGTGGTGTCTTAAGAATGCTCTTTGACCTCCAAAGAAGACACGACTATTGGCAGCTTCCATCCTACAGGTTACCCCCAAGTTGGCCTGGGTAAGGAGCAGCTAAACCCTTGTAGTGTTGTAGATAAGTGTGGAGTTTACAGAGCTCTCCAGGATCTGCCTGCTGGTGGGAGAGCAGTGGGGAGTGTGAGAGAAGTTCATACCCTGGGCTTACATCACTCACGGAAAAGCTTGCAGAAAATGATGGTGCTTTTACGTTGCTGGTGCCAGGGTGGCGTCCATGAGAGCATGAGCATGAGCATGAGGGAGAAGAAGTTTGGAAACTCTGATCCCTTCTCGATTGTTTGCACACTATGTGCAAAGGGTGGCTGGGAGAAGTGAGCCAGCCTTGTCCTTGCTAGACGAGTGTAGCACCTTGATGCTCTCCAGGGCAGAGCCCTGCCCTAGAATTTGGGCTGAGCTCAGCCAGGTGGTTCTTGGGAGTCTCAGATGGACCAACACATGCTGGCTGGTCTGACCCACTGGCAAGGAGGCAGTGTAAGGTTCTCAGACAATAACCAGAATCCACGGGGCCTCGGTGTGGGATGGACCCAGCTTCACCATCCTCACATCCAGTCCTCAAAGAGTCTTGGCTAGAGAAGGAGACTGTATCTTGGGATGGCAAGAGCTGTGATGTCCCTGAGCACCAGGGGATTAGGGGAGGGGCAGGGAGCGGTTTATCTCTGCACCAAGTGCAGGTGAGACACCAAGTGTGGGGGCAGAAGGCGCAGGAATCCTGAGACAGGTGCAGATGATGGTAAGGGAGCAGGCCGGTCAAGGCTTGCTTGGCAGCTCTGCAGTCACAGGATGGTGACACGCCTTGCTGCGACTCACTGTGAATGCTCCTGAGTGAACAGAGCGAGTTGATGGTTCTCATCTCCCTTCTAGGTCACTATGACACTTGCCAGGAGGGTGGGGGGCGTTCAGATACTGTGGCAGCATAAGGCCTGCCATTTCTCTGCTTCCCCTCTCTGGAGGGGCTCATGAGCTCAGAGTGACCCCCCAGGCACCTGGCTCCTAATTGAGAAGCAGTAGATGGGACTTCCTGACAGCAAAGATGAACGTGTGTCCAGGATGGCGGGATATATTTTACGCTTGCAGAGAGCACAGCTTGTGCGTGCACTATGGTTGGTGGCAGGCTGCAAAGGGTGCCAGTCCCCAGGGTCCTCATGGGACTGAGGGAATGACACACAGGTCCACCAGTGAAGGCTCAGGTGAGTGTCCCTGGAGGACCCAATTCAAGGGGATTGAAGCCAAGTGCGGGTGCACTTAGTTGATGTGGGAGGTGAGCTGGGGAGGAGAGAAGTGAGTTAGAACAAGGGTGTTACCAGCTGGTTCCCTCTGTGCAGGAGTTCCACTAGGAGCCTCAGGTAGAGAAGGCATGCCCCTGAGGGTTACTCCTCCCAATGAGAGTGTGAGCTGGGATAAGATGTGTTCAAGACCCCAGAAACAGAGGCCACTGGTGAGCAGAGGAGGAAAGATGCCAGGGCCCCCAGAGTTTCACACAGCAGGTATTCTCTGTGGTACCAGATATGTTTGGTGGTAGCGCTACAGTGTGACAACCACCAGAAATTTGTTGTATGGGGTGGGGCCAAATGGCAGAAGCTAGGACAGGGTTTTTTGGAATGAAACTAAAGGAAACACCTGCCACCTGGGAGCAGGAGGACAGCCAGTGCTAGGTGAGTCCATGCTTCGAAGTGCAAAGTGCACGTGGTGCACAGACAGCGGGAATTCCACAGGTTAGAGAGAGGAAGGTACAGGGAATGGCAGGAAGAAGCCCAGCAGGGGAGAACGAGTTATTGAATTCATCACAGGCAGTTGAGATCTCCCAGGTGATTAACACGTTTATTCAAAACCCAAGGGTAGATGTGTAAGGCCCGGGTCTCTTACCCAGCCCTTAGCCTCAACTCTTCTGTTCATGGCAGAGCTCTAGACCATGGCTGGATAAGATCGGACCCGTGGGCTGTTCGTAGTGCCACAAAATCGCATCTTATAAGGCCCTGCAAAGGCAACCACAGGCAGGACTTGAAATTGGAAAAAAAAAATATTCATAGCAGGTTAATTTTAAGTTAACCATTTTGGAAGGCCCATGAATGATGCTGTAAGTATTCAAATGGCCCTGGGCACACCCCCAAAAAAAATCCTCAACCCTGCTTTAGAGAGAGAAATGAGTGCAGCATTTTCCAGGCACATCGCTAACCTGGCCTCCCCTCTCCTTGCCTTCCAGATGGGCTTCTTCCGCCGAAGATACAAGGAGATCATTGAGGCAGAGAAGAACCGGAAGGAGAATGACGAGAGCTGGGACTGGGTGCAGAAAAACCAGTGACCCGCCACATCAGTCACGACCCCAACACCTGCCTGTCATCCTGGGTCTTTCTATCTTCCATATTTGGAAGAGAAAAAAAAAATCTCCAGATTTTTCGGAGGCCCCACAGTTGCTGTTCTTGTCCTCACTCGGAAGCCCAGGTGCTGGCCTGGGGCAGCAGCCACCGCGGCCAGGTCCCTGGACCGGAGCCACCGGAGCCACTGCCTTCTCACCATGAACTCAGACCCGTGGAGAGCGAGCTGCCCGCTCCAGCGATATTTATGGATGCAAACCTGCGTGATCAACCCTCAGGGGAAAACTGTTTTCTAAAAAGTATTTTTTATAAATCTAAGCCTTTTCTATGGATTATGTGTTTATATTTGTATCGAGGTTTTATGATTTCTATTACATAGTTCTATGATTCACTCCGGCACTGATCACTGGCCTCGGAAGTCTTGGACACTACACGGGCACAGACACCTAAGCGGAGTGGATGGAATCATGCTTGTACTTTGGGACTCACTGTGGTGAAGGACTTGCCAGCCCAATAAGCTGAGGAAGCATCAAGCGCCAAGCTCACCAAGCTGGTGGTGTTGCATGCCAACAGGGGGCGCTGTAGCAGATCCTCGGACACTGCATGCTTCTGTTGCAAGGAGTCGAGTTTGTCTCTCCATATTGCCTTTCCTTGGAAGATTCCCAGCAGGAGTTTGGATGAAAACGACATGATTCCTAGTGCCAGGTCTGCTCTGTGTTACCTGTGTACACACCTATATCCTCCATCCTACTCACATTGATGGAAAGCTTGACAAAGTTCAACTATGTCTTCTGGTCAACCTCAGAATGCTGTTTCATCCAGGACATCTTACATCAGACTTACATCACACAGCACCAGGACTAAATTGGTGCCCTCTGCTGCCACCATCCACCCAAGCAAAGACTCATGTGTGCCTGCGGTGAGGCACTGCCTGTCCATAGTCATTTGCATTCAGAGGTGCCCGTCTCCCCTGCCACACTTGTCCCAGCGAGGGGTCATTGCACACTCCTTCCACAACAGCCATTCAACTCATCTTTTTTTTTTCCAAGTCACTTAGGTAGGAAGTCCCCAAAAGCAGAGCCTGACACAGGATTGGTGTGCAAGTAACTTATTCAGGAAGTGTTCTCAGGGGTACCAGTGATGGGGTTGGGGGAAGCAGGAAGCCGGGGAAGTCCCACGGGCAAGGGGGAGAGGTAGCTTCTTTATAATCAGGCTTCTCTGCAGCGTGACTTGAACCTCGGACTTGGCCTGGCCTGCAGCAGGGGTGCTGCGCCCAAGGGAGCTGTAAGCTTGCTGCTCCCAGTCCCTGCTGCTGCTGAAATGGCTCCAGTGTCTTTGGAGGTGGTCCCCCAAAATGACAGCTGCAGGTGTGTGCCCTGCTTGGCCACCCAGCACAGCACTGACAGCTTCCCATGCCAGAGCTCCCAGTGGGTGGTGCCACCCAAGTCTCAGCACAGTGTAATTGTCCACAAGGGCAATGAGGGGATGGGTGTGTGATGGTGCCCAGGAGTAGTTGGTAGCCACGGGCGCTATTCCTGCTGCCAGATGACCATCCAGTAGGACAGAAAACAAGGAGGCACAAGCAGGGCTGGCAGTGTGTGTGAATGGCTAATGAAAGCCATGGCTGCATACAGATGGCATTGCTTGGGAGTGAGTGAAGCCATTTACAAGAACAAGATGGCATCTTCCAGGGTCTCCCTTACTGGAAACAGACATGCTGGGAGTCTGCGCCTGTTGCCGAAAAGACTCAGAATTGAGCATCTGGGGAGGCAAGGTTTTGATCCACACCCTCTCCTGGCACTGGCCAACATCTCTGAACTTCTGGCAGAAGTTGGGAGAGTGCTGAGCAGGTGTGAGGCTGGTGCAGTGTGCGTGTGTCCTTGGTTTCTAATGTTCAAATGACTCTGCTGCAGCAGAACCACAAACGGGCCGTGGTGAACTTGGAGAAAGACAGCCAAATGCCATGAACTACACTGATCCTAGCAGCCAGGGGAGTAGCTTCTGAGTCTAGAGGGCAAGAGCAAGCAAAGAGCCTGGCACACACTCAGGATTTGCCCCTGTGTTTTATTAAAGCAATAAGGAAAGAGATCTGGGGTTAGGTTTAGTCATTCATTGAGCAGCCATGCAAGACCTTTGCTGCATGGCTGCCATTACACCAGGTGCTGGAGGTTCCCCCACAGAAGACCCCAGGAGCACCATGCTATGGCCAACTCACTGGCTCCTACATGGGACTTGTGGAGAGGGATGACTTATTTGGGGGAACCAGAAAGGCATGATGGCCAAGTGGGTACAGTTATGGCTGAGTTCTGCCTGCAGTGTATACCTGGTGAGGCATGGGCCCAGGTAGAGCTCCCCCAGCCTGCCACGGTGCCACCGTGGTATTGGTATTGGGAGGAAAATGGTTGTTAGCTGACACAAGGCAAGCAGGTGCGAGTCAGGTGTGTTGGTGCCTGCGGTAGTGACATCTGCAGTGGACAGTCCTTGCCAGAGCAAAGAATGACTGGAGGGGGAGTGCAGAGCCAGGCGGATGAACAGGAGCCCTTGGTGACTTGTGATTCTTGGGTTCATAAGGGGAAGATGGGCGCACTCGCCAACCGGCCGCAATGCTGTTCCACACGGTGATCTCAATTCCCAGCTCTGTGAAGGGCAGTCCTGTTTTTGCTTTCTTGCGGTTTTCATTGTGTGCACGGCGTGAACCTGAGAGCTTGGTGAGTGAAGACGTGCATGGCAAGCCCTGCCCCCCCCCCCATGCTCTCTACACTCCCACAGCATCACTCTACACCCTAGAGATGTTTCTGTGGAGGGATCTGGGTGGTGTGGGTGGGCCTCATCACAATGTCACATGTATTTGAGTCTATGCAAGTCACTTCTGATTCACCTGCACTGTTTGGGGGGAATGCCAGGTTCACCAAAATACATGTTTGGAATAATAATAAAAAAAATGGCTGTGGATGATCCAGGAGTTTGGTCTGCTACTATTATTAATATTTGGCTGAAAAGGATTAAAGTATTAAAGATAGGGTTTCAGTGTAAACCAACACGAGCCTGAAAGAATGTCATGGTCCCACCAGTTGTACCTGAGTAACCCACTTGCTGTAGTGAAACTGTCCCTCATCTTTGTCCTTTCTGTTGGGGGCCACCACCTCTACACCCCTTCTCCCACCTGCCTGGGGCTGTATGCGGGACCTTCCCTTCGTGCCCCTGATGAATGAGTGGCTTCCTCATTGTTGGAGGAGCCCTTCCACACATGTCCATCCATCACTCAGCACATATTGATAAAGGTTGTACTGGCCTAAACTTTTAATCTGCTCCTTATTTCTTCTCCCACATGTGCATTGGTGGTTCTGGACCTTTCAGAACCAAAGATCCACTGACATTTTGACCTTTTTCAAAAATACTGATTTCTGCTTTCTTGGGCAGTTAATACTGCTTTTTTAAAAAAGGTTTATTTATTATATAGTCATATACAAAGAGGAGGAGAGACAGAGAAAAAGATCTTCCATCTGCTGATTCACTTCCCAGGTGGCTGTAACAGCCAGAGATGAGCTGATCTGAAGCCAAGAACAAGGAGCTGCTGCTTCTGGGTTTCCCACGCGGGTGCAGGGTCCCAAGGCCTTGGGCCGCCCTTGACTGCTTTCCCAGGCCACAAGCAGGGAGCTGGATGGGAAGCAGGGCTGCCAGAACAGGAACTGGCACCCATATGAGATCCCGGCACATGCAAGGCCAGGGTGTTAGCCACTAGGCTCCTGTACTGTTTTTCCAGCTTTTTAAAACAAATTCTTAATTCAGCCATCTGAAGATGCCTTTGTGTCTGTGTGTGTGTGTGTGTGTCCACAAACTATGTTTAAGGCTACACAGAAATATTTTTCTATTGGTGTGTCCCTTTAATTTGAATATGCATGTTATCATTACCATGCTGTTCTGAATATTCTGTTTTCTCATGATTTCTTCTTTGGTCCCTGAGTTATGGAGAGGCATGTTTTGGGCGTTGGCGGGGTGACACTGTAAGCTAAACCTACTCCTGTGGCACTGGCGTCCCATCAAGTTTTAGCTGCTCCATTGACCAAACTCCCTGTGTATGATCTGGGAAAGCAGCTAGCCCCATTGAGGATACCTTGAGCCTTGGCATACAAATACCATAGCATACAAATACACTGAGCAGGGCCATTGATAATGCTGATGACATAGAGAAAGAACGCACCTGCAATTGCTTAATCTCATCAAAGACCCCTTTAGCTACAGCAGTATGCATAGCATACAAGTGGACCAGTCAGTTGGCTTCCCCTGCCTCAGGGCTGCTGATAGTAACACAGTGGAAATGAAGCAAGAACAGAGCTGTGATTGGTTAGATACCACATTAAGGACACCTTGAGCTGTGGGAGTGCATATGGCATGCAAGTGCACTGGCAATTGGCATCATAGGAAATGACAATAGCACAGAGGTGCCGGAGGAAGAACAGTGCTGTGATTGGATAGATTTCCCCGCCCCCATTGAGGGTACTTTGTCTCGGGGTTTAGTCCTGCCAGCAGACCCTGAGGTCACCGAGGATGAGGTGACAATGTTCTTCAGCCAAGGAAGGTCCAGAGACAAGCTGGTGAGGAATGTCTGTTTATTCAGCACAAATTCCAGGATTTAAAACATTAAGGAAGGGAAGAGCAGGGGGACATCTTCCCGCAGTACCCCCTCCCTCACCGAATCATGACACTGTAATCGGCTAAAAGCACGTTTACTGCCTTGACTTTTCTGTCATGTCAGAGCTCATGTTCCATGCTCAGGGCTGAAAGCTGTGCTTCAGGTCAAGGGCAGGTAAGCTTTGACCCTGCCCACCAGGTAGCAGGTAGACACCCAGGAGCAATTGCTCACATCTCCCCCTCTGCTCTAGGAACAAATCCTACAACAAAACTTCACCAAATGGGCAAACTTTTGTCCTGTAATTCTAAGATGTTGGAACAGACATTGTAGGGCAAAATTTAACATAATAACATCACCTGCTATAGCATCGTACTGCAGGCAGAATGCCTGTTACAACAATGTTAAGTGTCTTTGACATAAGTCCAGTTTCTGTTGGAAAGCTAGTACAATGGGCCTATAAGTAATTGGCCTAATTTTGAGTCCCTTGGGCATAGGTGGCCAGCATGGTTATGTTAATTACAGTCATACAGTCCAGATGGTGGGTCAAGGAAAGCATAGACATTGCATCACAAAGCAGATAGCAGCAGTGATGGTGAGGCCAGGTGCACACTGTGTCTGGTGCAGAGTGGAAGACAGGATACCATCATGTGCTTCCTTTCAGGGTCCCTTCTATTTGGCATTCAGCCAGACTGAAGTCCAAGGTGCTAGCATTGTTCTTTTTTTTTTTTCATTGGAAAGTCAGATATACAGAGAGGAGGAGAGACAGAGAGAAAGATCTTCCGTTCAATGATTCACTCCCCAAGTGAGCACAACGGCTGATGCTATGCCTGTCTGAAGCCAGGATCCAGGAACTTCTTCCAGGTCTCCCACGCGGTTGCAGAGTCCCAAGGTTTTGGGATGTCCTTGACTGCTTTCCCAGGCCACAAGCAGGGAGCTGGATGGGAAGTAGAGCTGCCAGGATTAGAGCCGGTGTCCATATGGGATCCTGGCACGTTCAAGGTGAGGACTTTAGCCGCTAGGCCACGCCCCTGAGCCCTGGCATTATTCTTGTAATAAAGATTTTAAGACATATTAAGCCACATGTAATTAAATAACACAAGCAGTGAGATGGAAAATGAAAACATCACTGATTTCAGATGCACAAGTGGTCACTTCAAACCACATATAGGGCCAAGGAGGCCACACACTGTGTAAACTAAATGATAACTTCACCAGGGACTAGAGACCCTAACTGCCTATTACCCTGTCTGACTCCTCACATCTTCCTCACCCCCAACCCAGCCCCTGGAGAATGGACCCTAGTTGCTGTTAGGAACAGGGACTGATGACCGCTCTGGCTACTTCATGCTGAAAGGGGGCGTTGAAAGGCCGGGGACAGCAGCAAGGCATTCTCCAGGGGGTCCATCTAGAGGTCCCTGACAGAAGGTAGAAGTCACCAGATGCCTGCGATATTGATTGAAGCTTAGAGGCTTTCTTTGTGGAATTCTAGGTGACAAAACGTAACACAGTTATGAGTCCTTCCAAGCTAGTATGTCTTTATGGCTCCGGTTTAAACGTAAACATTAGGCCTGGGAACACTAGGTTAAGATTTATGGAGGAATAACTCAATAAAAGCAGCAAAACGCATGAAGGATTCCTGAACTGTGCAGAATTGTAAGCTAGATCATTCAAGAGGCAGAGGGACAATGAAAGGATTAGCATCAGCAGTGGGCTCGAAGTCCATCACATAGGTTAGTTACACACAAGTTTAATTTCAAAGTTTCCACGAAGTCACATTTTATCTAGCATCAACAGTTTTGAATTTAGGAAAAAATCTTTTGGGAAAGGATAAAGAATTTTGACCCTTAGTCAGTTAAACATACTTGAACTTAAAAAAAGGTTAAAGCCATTTTGTATCTAGGCAGAACATAGGCAAATGTTAGATTCTCTAAAGCAATTATACTTTTATAAAAAAAATTTTTTTAAACATAGCAGTTTATGGCATTTAAGCAAGAATTTGCAGGATTTTTGCACTCTAGGACAATCAAAGCAATCTTATAACTTTAACAAGCCATATATTAACAATTGAAGAGCAGAACAGTCTTAGGCGGGTGAGCAGAGAAATCCCCAGCAACTCAGCATACGAGGAATAACTGAATTCTACATCCTACCTAGTGAGGTCTAGGAAAAGCCAAATCGAAGCCTGACCAGTAAGGCACAGGCTGAGCAATTACAGGCCAATTGCATTCCTGTTTGTTCAAAACTTTCTATATTAGTCTCTCTCTGTCTATCAGAGCTAACTTTGGGGCTCCTGAGCAACCCTGATGGTCAGTGCAAGAGAGGATGGGGAGCCAAAGCTGGAACTAAAGTAAGGACCAGAGAAAGCTCCTCTCCTGAATCCAGAAGGAAATTTACAATTCTTTTATCTCTGAGGACCACCTGGGGCTCCTGGCTGTTGTTCCAATGTCATGAGACCCTATGTGGATTGTTCTGGACTGCTTCAACCCCGTGTGGGAAATCCAATAGGAACTGACTGACCTCAGAGTTCTCAGCCTACGAGGGCAGTCAATTTCCCCGTGATCTCCTTGGTAGTCGGGATATAGGCCTTGGTGTTCATACTGACAATCCTTGATGAAGTATCCACTGCTTCTGTGTAAAAGTTCTTGGGAGGCCTCCAGGGGTCTCACTGAGACTAGGATACAGACCTCTTTATCCTCCTGCTCCGCTCTGGGATCCCCTCCTCTGTGCACATGACCTCGTGTTAAGAGGCTGTCAGGGTTGCTCTTAAATCCCACTGCGACTCTCTAGTTTTTGCTAATATCTAATGCATTTATGAATCTGTTATCTATAAGCAACCAAAATCTTCCTCACACAGTCTAAGAAGCTAGAAGATTTCTCTTGCCCGCCCAACCTATTGTGAACAAAAGGGATATTAAAAGCATATCAGGAAAAACAATTCTATTTTATCAACTTTTGCAAATCCTAAAATCTCAGAAAAATATCCTAGAACATCAAGCACAACAACAAAGCACTTGTTACAAAGATATAAATTATATATGGGCCCAGAGCGGTGGCGCAAGTGGTTAAAGGTCCTCGCCTTGCATGCCCAGGATCCCATATGGGCGCCGGTTCTATCCCGGCAGCCCCGCTTCCCTTCCAGCTCCCTGCCTGTGGCCTGGGAAAGCAGTCGAGGACAGCCCAAGGCTTTGGGACCCTGCACCCGCGTGGGAGACCCGGAAGAGGCTCCTGGCTTCGGACCGGCATAGCATTGGCCATTGCGCTCACTTGGGGAGTGAATCATGGGACGGAAGATCTTCCTCTCTGTCTCTCCTCTCTG